TCAGGGTTTAGAGTTTAGAGTTTAGGTGTTAGGATGTAGACTGAAAGTTTTTCTTGCACAGACCATAGCGCCAAATTGAACCAAACGGTATGTTTTTCCATGCTGTTGGGGTCTGTTGCTGAGATAATTATTAAGACCCCTATATCACCTGTCTTAGTTCTGATTCAGGCCCCTACATCCCATGATCGCAGAGCGGCCTTCTACCACGGCAGGGGCTGTGCTCCTCCAAACCTAGGTCGTTCAGAAACCCCCTTGGTGTAGGGTTTAGGGCTTGAAAAAAGGTACGCTTCCTCGGGCTAGATCTACTACCTAATTCGAACAGAACCCAGAAACAAACAAGTAATCCTGAACCCTAAAACCCGGCCTAAACCCTCAAAAAGAGGCATGCCACTGATCAGCCTTGAAACCAGATTGGCCAGACCCTGGGCCTCGAGCTCAGAGAGCCGCAGGGACGCAGCTTCCGCAATAGCCGAGATCGAGGGCTCGCCGTTGAGTCCAGAGGTGGCCGAGTTCTGTGCGCTGTTTGCCGGAGACTGTGGGCTGAGCTCTCGCAGCTGCCGGAGCGATTGCTGTGTGGTTGCTTCCTTAGTCGGATGTAAGATAAGATAGGATATACCAGTAGAATATAATAATACGAGCAGGATCCGTTGAAACCCAACGAGGGGACATACTGGAACCAATCCAGTGCCTTGCCTAGCTTCCATCAAAGGCATGTGAGACAGCGACGGCGAGGCCAAGTACCATGCGGTGGTCGACAACTGCTGAGGCCGGCTCTCTGGCGCTTTCTGCACAAACTTCTCTGCCAACGCCAACATTAATGGATTGCCTAGGTTCAGTATCCCAGTCGGAGACGGATGTTTCCTACTTGGATTAGGCAGCTTTAAAAGGGAAATGCAAAAGCATCATGGCACTAATGTGGGTCCTGGGTGCCCAGGAACTGTGACGTTGCATGGTCTCGTGCCAGATTAGAGAGATGCTGCGCATGCGGCTCTGCAGCGATCTGTCTGGCACGCTGGGACATTGTTGCCAAGGCTGGGCGGCCGTGGGACATCAAAGCAGCAGCTTTCCACATACTGTTGGCAGTTTCTTGTGGGCCAAGCTCTGACACTCGAAGCTTTGCAGAAGATGGGAGCGCATGCGATGCCAGCAAACTGACAGCCCGAAGCTTCGCAAACTCCCAGGCGATGTTCGCCAGGCCTTGCAATGCGACCGTGTGCCATAAAGAAACCAGTCGTTTAGCTGCAGCCTCCGTTGGCAGCATGTCCAACCACTCCAAAACTGCCAATTTCCATAGTGTGTTCGCTGACTCTTGCTGGCCAAGCCGGTCTAGTGTGCACTTGCTCCGGAAAGTGGAGGCACCAATTGCCCTGCCATGCTTCTGCACCGGCGTCCCTGGAGTTCGCACAAAGTTGCTGGTGTTCTGTGGAGCAGGTTCTTGAATCTTTTCACATGCTCCCCTTGCTGCTACATCGACGAGCCTGCCATCGTCGATCTTCGAGGTGCCAGGCTACCATATGATATTGCTCAGTTGCTGTGGTGAGGGTTTCGGGGCCAGCTGCACTGAACGTCGTGATGCAGCATGCATCGCCGCTCCCGCTGCATGTCCGAGCTTGCCAGATGCTCAAGCGATGTTGGCGGCACTCTGCGATCCAGAATTGTCCATCATTGGTTCTGAAACAGCAGCGGCCACGTGCAAGAGAGGCCTGCTCATGTGCTGGAGCTTCCCAAATGACCGGGTGGTGATGGAAGTTGCCTTCATACAGAGCTGCACGCAAACCGTTCACAAGACCGACTGACTTTCACGGCATGTTGAATTTTAGAAATCATGCGGGTTATCCAAAGACATCTGCACTTCCTTCGGCCAAGCCTATGGATCCACCTCCCTGATCTTTCGCACCAGCAGGCCGCCCATGGCATCGAGCAGCAGGAGGTCCAGGAAGCGACAGTTTGCAAACTTCCGCCTCGGCCACAGGATATCAGAATATAGAAGCCTAAATAATTACCAATATTACTGCAAGGGTTCCTCAAAGTACTAATACTATAAATTATAAAGGAGCCCAAAACCGTGTTCTAAGTATTTGTGGGCATTCCTTCAGACAGGTCAGAGGCATGGTGCCTGGCTTGGGCGAGCTTCGGTCTTTGTATCCTATTATTTCGAGTCAATACCGGGCTCGTGATTCGAACAGTGTTAGCCGAGGCGACCCAAACGGAGTGTTACCCTCAAGCCATCTCTAGCAGACTCTGGCAACCTCGCCTTGAGTTTATTCCAATTTCGCCGCTGTTGGTGATGGCCGGGCAGGCTGAATTACGCAAGCGATCCACGCTGAAAAGTACGCAGATCCATCTTCTGGCCGAGATTTCTTGGAGGATTGCCGAGTCATGTCAGTCCAGACTTGCGGCTGCTTCGAGTTGCATTAATGTGGGAGCCATTGGGTGCAGCCCCATCTGACGCGGGGTACAATGAATACCGAATGCAGCTTTCTTATCCCTGAAGCTTCCGTTGAAAGTGCAACGAGAAACAGCTTGAAACATAGCAGAGTAAAGCTGCAGCACTGGTGGCCTCACTAAAGCAGCGAGCTTTGTAAACGTCCAGAAGCATGCATCTTCGAGAGAGTTTTGTCGTCAAGGGCTTAGTTTTGTTTGAGCGCTCTTTTTCCACCTCAGGGGCTGGGGAATTTTGGTTCCAGCGTTTAAATTAGGCAACACCAATTCCGGATCGGAGGACCAAAACTCGGAGACGAAAATCAATAAACCCAGAGGTTCCAAAGCTCCGAATGAAGGGAATCTCTCTGGCGGTCGTAGGAACCCTAGTATGAGTTGAAGTATATTCCTTCGTTGAGGGTCTTAGATTCTCTGGGAAGACCTTGTAAGTGGTCCTCAACGGCCATGCAAGCTATGATGGAAGGCAGTACAGACCACATACTGTACCTAAACTAAACCCGACGCGGATATCCTGAAGCTTCTGGCCAGGGGGCGACAAGTTGCCCAAATCCTGACCGCGAGGTTGTGGGGCCAGCACCTGCGACCGAACCCCGCATCTCAAGCTTGAGCTACCTTTGGGCCCTGTAGCTACCAAGACACTTGAGCATGAGAACGAACGCAGTTGAAACAGCACACTGCTGGTTCGCGAAGCAGGTGGGTCACATGGTCACACCGTCCTTATACTTCTTTTGCACATACCTACAATTGTTCTGGCCCATACCTCGGCCAGCCGTTATAGTTTACCTGCCAGATGCTTACGTCCGTGGAATCTCGTGCATGCTAGGCTGGTAGTTTGGAGGCTTGAGTAACCGTCTATCATATGACCCCGTCGGATGCTAAAGTTTTCAACTCAGTACTGAAAACTCAGTACGACTGTGGCTTCGGGAAGAGACTTGGGTCACGAGGATGACATCACCGTCACCGGCAATCCTTGGACCCAAATCAAATCCAAAAAAGTGAAACTAATGGCACAACGGGCTCTCAACCGATCTCTTCGCGATTCGGGTTCAAGGAAACTCATCACAGGGCCCCACTGGCCCGAACTGCTCCCACTCAGCCCGCAGGGGGGGCGGGTCTTCTGACCCGGTCTGCACACCCCAGGACTCAGCAAGGTCCTCGTCGCTGGCTTTCTGGATGTTGGAAAAAGGCCCGTCTGCAAAGGATGGTGTAAACGGAGGCTCCGTCTTATGCAGGCAGTCCCACGAACCATTCGGTGCAGCCACGGGCCGGAAGAAGCTGTGCTTCGCAAGCGACTTCGCTCCGCCCGGTGCCCGTTTCGAAGGATTCTTCACCAAAAGCTTTCGGATAACATTCCTCGCTGATGTATATACAGATTTTGGAAATGTGTACTGGCATTTCGCGATCCTGCTGTATGTGTTCATCATATTGGGCTCTGCAAAGGGCGAGACCTCTGCACAAAGCTCGTAAATCATAATGCCCACCATCCACCAGTCATAGTCGAATGAGTGGCCCGAATTGCTGACGACCTCGGGCGCGAAGTATTCCGGTGTCCCACACGTTGTCCAGGTCTTGTTGACGATGATCTTCGAGAAGTGGAAGTCAAACAGCTGGAGCTTACCTTGGAAACTGATGACGCAATCCTCTGGTTTCAAGCACCGCAAGACGACGTGCAAGCTGTGCAAATGCTGCAAAGCACAAACAACGCTGGCCATGTAGTATCTTGCATGGGGTTCGCTCCCATAGAGCCTATCGCGCTGGTAGAGATGATGCAGGCTCGCACCGAAGCCTTCCATTTGGAAACGGAGGTATCTCGGTGTCTGGCAGCAACCGTGGTAGCCCAGGATGAAGGGGGACGGGCAAGCGGACGTGAGCACAAGCACGAGGCGCTCGCCTACCACGGTTTTGACTTTGCCTTCCTTGATTAGTTTTGCCTTCGACAGGGTCTTCCAGGTGCACAGCTGTGCATCCGGGTGCTCGACGAGGTCAATCCTCGTCACGCCGCTGGAATCAAGGATGCCAACACACCCTCGGGCCCGAAGCGTCGAAAAGTCCGTGCTGACGATGCCAGGCAGCTCGTTCCATTCGTGAGACATCTCCTCCTGCACGTCGTCTAGAGCTGGCAAAGGTTTCCCACTGCGGATCTCGGCGACGGCTTCGGGGATCGCTTTTTTAAGACAGCTTCTCATTCCCTGAGACAGCAGGCTGCGGACAAGCTTCTGCAGATGTCCATTGTAGAGAGAATTCTGTTGAATTCCAGTGGTGTTGTCTTCAAGCTTATCGGGCCAGATCGCCGATGCTGATATCCCCGGCAAGCTGAAGCGAACACCACGCAGCATGAGGAGCAGCAGAAGCATTACCGAACAGGCCGTCACGCAGAGAGCCGCGACGAGCAAAGCAACGATCAAGTTCATGGCGCTGTGAGAGGCTGGTAGCCTAGAGCCTCAACTTCCTAAGTTCGGTCAGGTTCCATGAAATGCAGTGTCGTGTGCCTGCTTGCCTCTGTGTCATTGCAAGCTCGTACATCTCCAGAGTTGTCTACCCATGGAGTATTCTGAAATATACTGAACAGCACGGAAGCACGGCAAATCAGCAAAAATGGGAAGTGCGGCGCTGGCAAAAGCTCGGCAGCTTCGAGGAGGTGCCTCAACTTGCACCAGCAATCCTATCGTGGATCGAACCTAAGGGCCTTCATGATTAGAGTAGGGCTTGGGCCGGACAGTACCAGTACTGTCTGCCACGGCTAAAACCAATCCGCAAAATCTGGGACTGTCTGTATATGCTGCAGGAATACCTCCGGCGGACGTCCATCCAGAACTGGAACAGCATGGATCTGAACTTGTCTGTGTCCTAGGATGAATTGAAGGTTTTACCAGGGTCCCTGGCACCATATTTTTTGAAACAGCCCTCGTTGTCCAGCAGCCCCGCTGGCCAAACACACACACACATCCCCGGCACCAATTATGCCTTAAACCCCATGCCATGCCTGGATAGCAGACATCAGCGCCATTCCTACGAGGCCGCGCAGCAGCTGGGATCGCGCGGAGCCTCCAGAACAACGAAGAGACACAAGGAGGATCGCAGGGTCAGCCGTAGAGGATCCGTGGGGCTTCGGGTTTCGGGGTTTTACAGTATAGGAGTTTCCTTTGGCTTTCTTTTTGTTCGGCCCTTTTCCAATCAGCTAGTTTAGGGCTAAGGGTTCATAACGAGCTTTGGGGCTTGTCGACGTCAAGCTGCGGATCTTTACGCTCAGGGTTAGCATAGGCCCCCACAGCTTACTAAGGTATCTGTGACCTCAAAGCCCTATATCGGGAAGTGACGTTCTATGGTTCCAACTTCCGAAACACATTCGTCACTCTCCGCCTCGGACCGAGTTGGTGAAACTCTGCGTGTCAGATTGCGCCACATCATTGCAAAAGCGGGTGCGCAAACACGTCGACGAGGGCTCCTGCCGGAAAGGCGTCCGCAGCAGAAAAGCGAGCCGACACTCAACAACTTTGCTGATAGTATGTCTCTGGACAAAGAAGTCTTTGACACGTTTTCACTCACAAGTTCCTACGTAGACTGGCTTGCATGCCGTGGAACTATAGTGCACGTTTGCGCTGAAACTTTGCAAAAGCCGAGCGTTGAAGCATGGAAACGAAAAGCCGGCAAAGTTGGCATATTAGGGCAGGCCATATTAGCAGAAGTGGTCAGACATGGGAGAGCAAGCCCCGGTACCCTGGCCCCCCTGCTCTCACATCCATGACCCCGGCTGAGCTGTCAAAATTCACGCAAACAAGACGTGTACGATGGCTGAAGCAAAGCTCAAAAGAGCTTACA